TGAGTACTGATAGTACTCATTCAAAAGCAAGAATCGGCATCCTTGGAAATAATGAAGACGACTGCAAGTTATGTGATTCTAGAATCGGGTTTGGAACAGGAGGAGAACATGATGACAATAACACGTGTGGAAACGAGGCAAGGAACGGGGCAGATAATTAATACAAACACGTCAAAGCCATGGGTTACATCCTGGTGCAGTGACAAGGAAAATAAAAAACGTTCAAGAAAACGGGCCTAATGCAATTTTATACAACACGTAAGTGAAGTCTTTTACTTTCATTAGAATTGTTATCGCATAAAATTAAAAAGCTAATGACAAAAAAGCTTGCCACTCCTCTAAAACCTTACTATTTTTTAAAAGCTTTAATTAGCAATACTGAGATGGGGAAGGGCATAACTTAAAGCCCTCGATCATTCCTGTAACTTCCAGTGTACTAAAGTTATGACAACAAAGCACAAATTGTTAAATGAAAGATTTATGGCATGTCCATACGTGTTTTACATAGTATTGAGCTATGACGTCTCAAATTGTACAGATGCATGATAAATGAATTATCTTCGAACTTATGATAAATAACCTCCCCCTGGCTGGGAAACAGTAACTTGTACTCTTATCCCTACACTTTCATCCACTCAGAACCCCTACCCAATCTCACCCCAACCAGCCTCTACTTAACAGATCTGATGACAACCCCTTGCGCTGTTTCCATTATGTTGCCATCCAATTCACGAGAAAAGAGGTACAATTTAATTTATTAAGATTAAGCAATTCTTGATATATCATGGGATAACAAAAATGAAAAGATATTTTTCTGTGGTAAAATCCCTTTATACTTTCATGGAAAGATCCCAATGATTTTAGGTATCCCAAATATAGGCATTCCAAAACTAAAAGGTGTGCTTATTTCTCACATCTCCGGCTGTCACGTTCCACAACCGATGGAACTGGATTATTGCAATGAACGGATACGACACAAGAATCAAATCTAGAAGTCCGCCATGCTGCTTTAATAATCAACTTCCCAACTTACATTGCGCCCTTAAGTATATTATGTATGATGCACCGAAATGTACCTTACAAACACTACACCGGCTTTTAACAAAAAATTCTATCTCTATTTATATCAGGTGCAAAACACAAAATTCGTTCGCTAAATTTTACAGTTTTTGTTCACTGTCAAGTTTTAGTCAAATTTACCAGAAAAACTGAGACTGGAGGAGGCGATGGAGAGTGGAACCTGTATCTTCAATGCCAAAACACTTGAAGAGCAAACTTTAGTATCTTTATCCATTAATTAACCTAACCTATCTGTAATGTTAGCATGGAATAATTTGGCTGACCCCTTTCTCTAACAACCTGCCTGGTTTTTTCAGACAATAACTCAACACCGGATTGTCATCTCAGGCCCCGTCCACACGAATCCGGATATTTTTTAATCCGCAACTTTTTCTTTCCGGATTCAAAAATTCAAATCAAATTCCTGTCGACACGCATCCGATGGTATCCCGATTCATTCTCAAGAAACTAGGCCTACAAGACGTCCCGCCTAATTGGTTTATTGTTCGGTAAAAGACTAGACAGGATTTTGCTACGTCATCGGATTCGAAAATATCCGGATTCACCGTCCACACGTCGGATTCTTTGCGGATATTTCTTTTTTTTTTTTTCCACTCTGGAGAGTGGATTGAAAAATATCCGTTTTCGCCGCCGAATTCGCCGGATGCGTGTGGACGGAAGCCGTATCCGGAAAGAAAAAGTTGCGGATTCAAAATATCCGGATACGTACGGACTGGACCCCACATTTATAAAATGGCTATCCGTCGTTAGTCTTGCAATGAAATTAATATGTTTTCCAGAATTCTTTTTACGTTATCCCACGCACTATTCTACCGCTCAGATTGAAACCTCTGAGAAATTCGGTTGAAACAGATGCAGCTGTTTTGAGGAAAACTTGTCCTACAAACAACCGAAAAGCGATTTAACTCGTACCAGACGATGCTAAAAGTGGTTATTAGTGGTTAAGAGTCAATTTACCGCCGATTGATCCACGTTTAGTGTTTTGCCGCCATACGAAGGAAGGAAGTAAAGAATACATGCGGCCATGTTTTTTTTTCCTTCCCTCACACTGACAACACTAACCTCGTTAAAACAACGAAGGACTACCCGGGTACCCAAAATACCTAAAAGACAACTTTTGTCGAAACAGTCCATGCAAACAATAGCTGTTTTTGAAGTTATCAGCGGTTTGACATACAAAGGATCGAGGCGAAAGGGTCGGTTTTGCCTTGTATTGACCTGTTCGCCTCGTTTGTATGCCTTTTTAAACAAAGGAATATTTGACCGCAGGCTCAACTGCAATAAGAGCTATCAAAGAAACCGAAGATCGAGGAGACATTTCTTTCTAGATGTTGTTTATTGTCATAATACTGGAGAGGATTAAGACAGCCATCTAAATGTACAGGTTAACATGATTACAGAAAATCTAGGATTCCTGAGTGTCATAATTTTATGGCTAGTGACGAGTGATATGCGCGTTTGTCAAAATTCTTATAATTTCCCTCAATTAAAAGTAAGGGAAATTATTTAAATTTTGACTAAACGCAAGTGAAATTGTTTATTAATTTTTACGAGCATACTACTTAACAATTTTTTTAATATCACGGGTGATATATTACACTTACGATCGTGGGGTTTTGAATGTTTATTGTATCGAGAAATTTCGTATCAAACGCTGGCATGGAAATTATATTTTGTAATTTCACATGTAAAATTTTAAATTAAGGATTAATTCTATGTCACCAGGGATATTAAAAATAATTTGGTCTGTATTTTTGGTATTTCAACCTGGAGAGAGAATCTGGAACCTGGAATGGAGAATCTCCAGAAATCTTCGGAAAATCATCGGTCGAAAATCATTGGTCGAAAATCATTGGTCGAAAATCATCGGAAAATTGCCAAAAACGTCGTTATATGTTGTGAGAATTTTATATAATAAAAACCCCTTGCCCCTTGTCTAACTTCCATACACCTTTTTTAGCATTTTAACACCGGATAGTCAACTCATAAACCTGTATCCTAAGC